GCCGGCTGGGGGGCCAGCCCCGAGCTGCCCGGCTGGCTCCGCATCCCGCAGCAGCCAGGCCCGCGGGCACGCTCGGGTTTCTTTGCCAGGACAAGACGGGGCTCGCGACCAGTCTGCGGCTGGCACAAGGTGCCTGGCGCTGGCACAGCCCTGCTAACAGGGGCTTTCCACAGGAAACCTGGGCCCGCGCAGCGGCGCCGGAGGCGGGCGACGTAGGCTGCGGGCAGCTGAGCCCGGTGCGCGGTGCGAGCGGATCAGCGCCTGCCGCACGGCTCTGCGAGCACTTATGTCTCGGCGGCGAAGGGCGCCCGGGCGCAGCGCGCCACAGGCTCGCTGCCCGGCAGGCTGGGAAAGGGGAACAGAGCACAAGACCGTGGAGAAAACCCTCTCCAGGAGCGCAACACAGAGCTGGGAGGTGGCGCAAGGCAAGAGGGAAAGGTCTGGGAAAAACTGTAAGAACCAAGGAGCAATGGGCTCCAGTTGCAGAAGCTGAGGTTGGATATTAAGAGAAACTCTCACAAGGAGGGTGACAAACCACAGGAACAAGTCACCCAGGGCGGCGGCGGATCTCCATCCTTGGAGGTTTTCAAGGCCCAGCTACGCGAAGCCCTGGCTGGGATGATGCAGTTGGGGCTGGGCCTGCTCAGAGCAGGGGGTTGCACTAGATGTGCCCTCCCGCGCTCCCTTCCACCTGCATTTTCTGAGTCCAGAGCCCAGGTCTGCAGAGGCCATCGCCATTAGGTAGCTGGCTGTTGTCCAGCAGCTCACCCTTGGCAACTGCAGCCCGAGACAGCCGGGATGGGCCGAGGTTGCAGGACATACAGGAGGGCAGGTGGGGCAGCAGAGGGTAGGGCAGCTGCATTTCGCAGCGCCCCGCTCCGTGACGGGGACTCCTGGGAGCCAGGCCTCGCCCAAAGTCGCTCTCAGAAGAGGCTTCTCTTCCTGGGCATTGCCCCAGCTTTGTCCTACAGCCTCCTTCACCCTCCTCTGCGGGCCTCAGCTCCAGCCAGCAGCTGGCTATCAAACCCACAGTCCAGGTGCCAAGGAAGTGCCATTTCCATGCCCGGGGAAGTGCACTGGAAACCCTTTGCGGCCTGGTTGCAAGGAATGCAGCGTCTCCACGGGAGGGGAGGGGGAGAAGAAACCCTGGCGCCCTTCAAACAGCAGCATGTTATTCACGGTTAATACTACAAGCTCCCTTGTGAGCTTCAGCCTGAGATCTTGTCCCTCCTCAGGGGGCCGAGCAGCAGGGCCAAGCCGCGCGCGCGGATGGGCTGCACGCGCCAGGCTGCAGAAGAAAGGCTACTACACCCGCGGCCTCCTTGGACAAAGCCGGTGCTGAAGGCCGAGCGTCGGTGCAGGCTGCTCCCCGGAGCTGGGCTGCACAGATGGGCTCGGTTTCCTGCAGGGCCCCTCGGGGCTGGCTGCCGGCTCAGACTGTGTTCAGGGAGCGAAACGATCGAGGCGATGATGCTGCTGGGGTGGAAGAGGCAGCCGGGGCAGCTGTGCAGGGAGCTCGGCAGTGCCTGGGAGGCACCCACCCTGCTTGCAGGCAAGCCCTGCTGGGAAAATGCGAAGTATGTGCGTGCTGCTGAGTCACGAAGAGTTTCTTGCCTCCTGGGCTTTGGAGACCCGGGAGGGGCTGGGGGCGAGGATTTGGGGCTGGTCTGGGCTGTCCCCGGGGGAGAACCTCACCAGCACCAGGAGCCGGTCGAAGCCGAGGGCGCCACTGTTTTCTTTGCTAAGAAAACCCTGCTCTGAGAAGGGGATTTAGGCTTTACAGGGGATTCACCAGGTGATGGACTGAATTTCTAGCCTGCTCTACACTGAAGGCTCAGGGCAGCTCCCAATGCTGCCTCTGGACACAGAGCACCCAGGAAATACGCCCGCTCCCAGTCACAGCCTTGCCTCAGCTCAGCATGGCGTGGAGGGAGCTAACGACCCGATCGGAGCCACTAACGTCCTTGGACAGGCGTGAGCACGGCCCGCGCAGGCCCAACTCACCGCTTCGTTCCTGCTGAGCACGCTACCGCTGCAGCAGTGAGCAGGGCTGGGGGGTGCTGCCTGTATGGGCCTTGGGACCCCTGGTTCATGCCTGTAGCCAGGTGCATCAGGAGATCATAAGGTGCAAGCACAAAAGCTGCAGCACCTGGTTCTGCTCTTCCCGGGCAGCCAGGCTCCGGTTCAGGAAGGCTGCTGCTTTTTTGGTGCTTCTCCACCAACTAGGACAGCAAACCCCCTTTCCAAGACACCTCGATGAGACAGTCACCCCTTGCTAGGAGCGAGTCAGCACCCCAGTGCCATGGTGCAGGGGGTGCTGGCAGGGAAAACGCTCCTAAGGGAAACACTGCCGATCGCAGGCCCCTGAGCTGCAGAACCACCTCCAGCCTCCTAACCTGCTGCAGCCAGGCTGGGGTTTCTCCAACCACCTACCTCCGCGCTCGCACAGTCTGGACGCAGTCCTGTGCCTTCGGCTGGCATAGCAGTAGCTCTCCCCACAGCCAGTAGTTTCATGCACACGGAGACGGCGCACGCACACGCGTTTTACCACGTTTGCTTAGGCTTTCCTGGCCACGCGGCAAAGTCGCGAGACTATTTCACGACTAATATTCCTACGACTGTAGCATCCAAAGTCCGGGTCAGGACTGGTGCCCTTGTCCTGGTGCTGTTCAAACCCATAGAAAAAGCGCACTCCCTGCTCTAGAGCGGAGACAAGCAGCTTCCCACTTGCAAGCCTGAAACCACGCGTGAGCCTTCAAGATGCACAAAGGCTTCCCTACCAGGTCGTGCCCGTCTCCAGAGCAGACCTCCTGCTTTCTGCTTCATCGCAGGGGATATGCCAAGCCAGGAAACAGAGGCAGCAGCGCACAAAAGCCCCCCCAAGTGCACCACACTGATTACAGGATATAAGGCGACGGTGCTCAAATGCCCAAGCAGAGCCAGCGGTGTGATTTTTTTGCCTCTGATTCATCAGGAGAATTTCTCAACCAAAACTCACCCGCCTCAGCTTCCTGCCCGACCGCCGCCTGCCTGACCAGCAGAAGCCTACAAAGCAAAAAGATACAGAGCAGTCACTTGACGGACCTCGGCTGCTTTGGCAGAAGAGCAACCCAAGAACGCGCGCGCGGGAATCGAGCTCTGGCCCCACGGTGGGAGCCGACCACGCCGGGGCCAGGAAGGAACCGCATCCTGTCGGCTCAGCTCGCAGCCACTTATCTCCCCAAGCCACACACCATTGGAAAAGCCAACTCAAAGAAACGGCATCTCGAATGCTGGCCCTGCGGGAAGCCTTGGCTCAGCAGAAGGATTTCCACTGGTGATGTCCTTTGTCTTGCCCAGTCATCCTGTGACAACTACCCACTTGCTTCATGTCCCCGAGCCTGGCACTTCAGGGAGTGACGCAGCTGCGGAAAGACAGGCTGGAAGCAGAAGCGTCTGCGTGATTATCCGCGTCCCCTCCTGTTTGGAGAGGGCTGGAACGGCGGTCTCCAGACGGACGAGCATGGCAGCGCCTACCTGGAGGCCAGCAGGAAGCAGCTTGGAAACGTGATTTAGTACCAAGCAGCCCCTCCGTCCAGGCTGAGCCCCCCTTCTCCTCAGCCATAGCAGCACCCAGGAGGCTCTGAGCAAGGGTCCTCGCTCTCCGGCTGGACTGGCAGCACGGGCCCAGCTGGGCGTGAGGCCGCGCAGCTTCAAGTCCCAGCCAGCCCAAGCCCCCGGCTCTCACCTGCTGGGAACAGGGCGAATGGATCCTCTTTGGCTCAAGAGCCTCAGCGAGCAGCCGGGGCCGGTCTCTGGGGCAGGGACCACATTCCCGTTCTGCCTCACACAACATGCTCTTGGTTCGTGACTTGAGCAGCAGCAGAGCTCAGCCTGCCGCAGTGGGTCCCGTCCTGCACGGGGCCTCTAGCACTGGCTGCCAGCTGCCCTGGTCTTAGCCCCGAAGAAAGGCACTGGCAGAAGGTCAGCAAAGCAGCGCGAGTGCAGCAGCCCAGACAACGTCTCTGCTAAAACACTGCAAACATTTTATTTTACGAGCTGCTGTTCGGGCTGACGCTCAGAAGAGTCATTTGCAACAGCCCGGCTTTGCCTGTTGTAGCAGCTACAGCCCGAACACAGGGTGTAGCGGCAGGTTTCAAGCCACCGGGACTTGCCGGGTCCAGGGGTTTGTTTCATCTCTTTATTTTAAAGGTGAAGAGCAGGTGCAAGGACAGGAATCCTGCTACCTGTTAGCATCGCTGGGAAGAGAGGACTGACTAGCTCGGGCAGTCGCCGCCTCAGAAGACTCACGGCATGCTTTCTGGGCAGGAATCTGGCCTCAAGATGCAGTTACAAAAATATTGCACGGGCTGCAGGAAGGGGAGGCCAGAGGAGATCTCTGTCAACCCACACTCCTGCCACGAAAGCGCTGGGGGCCACTGGCAGCTGCTGGGCAGTGACCTACCAGG